CGTGGGGGATCGGGGGCGGAAGAAGGGGCGCGGGGAGAAGAAATCTGGAGTAGGTGGACGCGTGTGGCAGAGGATCTGAGGTGGCCCGGGGGGAGGGGGAGGGGGAGGGGGAGCGGGGATAGAGCGGATTCAAGCGGCGGTCCCGGAAGACAGTCGAAGTTGAATCAAGCGCGCTACCTTAAGCCATACTAACACTAGGACTTTTTTCCACAACGCTCTGGACGTGATTGCGATCACATTCATCCAGCTCGGGCCGTAATATCCAGTCAGATGCATTCTGGAAAGCGCTACTGTAGTGTGAGCATGCCCTTCGTAAGCTCGCATAAGCTCGCAAACATGAGGGGCGGAAAGGTGATGACAACAGGGCAATAGAGAAGGAGAGGAGTGAGAGAGAGATCCTCCCCCCTTCTGACCAAACGGTGAAGTGGACGCTGTGACAGTCCGTATGCGTGCAGAGCAATCAAGAGGGGACGATTCAGCTTGATGTGAATGTTTTGTTGATTGAAGTATTTCTATAAATTCCAATTTATTACGTTTTTTTTTCTTTTTTTTTTTCAATTTATTACTGTGCGTGCAAAGCAATCAAGAGGAAAGGGAAAAAAAAAAGAAAAAAAGGGAGGGGCTATTCATCCCTCGACCACGCAGGTTCGAATCGACCCGCCTGCCGCCATATACCCCGATCGGATCGCTGATGAAGCACTCTGGAGGTGTGGATGAGAGCGGCCAATTTTGGATGCAGGTGTTGAGCTAGACGCGGCTTCACATGCCTGAAGGAGAGAGGAGAGAGGAGAGTAGAAGGCCGTAGCAGCAATGCCGATGATGAAGATAGGGAGAGAGGGAGAGAGGAAGAGAGGAGCAAAAGCCGATGGATGATGAAGAGAGAGGAGTGATGAAGTCAGGATCTAAGATCAGCAGAAGCCGGCAGCTGTTTCAGGAAAGGAGAATTGTCCGGCGCGCAGTGGACGCGGCGGCTTCGCATGCCCGAAAGAGAGTAGATGCGCAGTTGCAAGGGCTTCACGTGTCAGGCTCGGGAGCCATGAAGACCTCGACGCTGTCGGATGAGAGGGAGGGGCAGGTGGGAGCAGGTTGAGAATGGCCATTGATCAACTACACAACACTCTACATGCATTTGGATGCTTTCTGGACCAGATGCACTCCCAGATAGTCCAGAAAGCATCCAAATACATGTAGAGTGTTGAGCGAGCAAAAGCCGTCTCCTCCTCTGATCCGATGATACCCGCTCGGCCGGACTGTTCGGCGCACGTGCGGCCAATGGAAGAAGAACACCAGAACCACGCCCAGCTGTTTTTTTTTTTTTTTTTTTTTGTCAAACTACACTATGACTATATAGAGGGGACCCCTGCACTCTCCGATTCTTTTTCGCCTTTCACTACCTTCCTACCACTACTCCTAAGACTAAATATAGAGGGGACCCCTGCAAGCATAGGGCCTCGCAAACGAGGTAATTCATGTTGCCCCCCGCCCCAACAGCAGTAGTCAGAGATAGGGTGGGGCCTCCGGTGGGGGTCCGGCTAAAGCAAAGACCGAGCATTTTGCCAGTAGCTGCGCCTCCCTTTCTCATCGTCCCCCACCCCTCATCGAGTAGCATCAGAGGCTATGGCCAACACTCTCCCACACACCACACACAACCCACTCGCGCTCACACTCACACCGGTGTTGGTCATAGACCCCGCTAATACCGATCAGGGGTTCCGGTGAAGAAGGGTAGTAGTGAAAGAAATCGAACTTCAGAAAAAAAAAAAAAAAAAAAACACTTCACCTCTGACTACCGCTGTTGGGGCGGGGGGCAACATGAATTACCTCGTTTGCAAGGCCCTATGCTTGCAGGGGTCCCCTCTATATAGTCTTAGGAGTACACAAATAACCACAGCCCCAGGAAACAATCAGGATGCTGGGCCGATTACAGCCCACCTCCCCTACATGCATACTAAACCTTCCACAATTTGATTGTTTTCATAGCTGACAGGGTTCACACTGTAAACTACATTACAATCGATAGTTAGTACAAAAAAAAAAAAAAAAAAAAAGAAACAATGAATAGTTAGTACAGATTACAGGGCTGAGGTCCCACTAGCAAAGAGGATCGGATCGAATGCCTGAATCTGGATGTGTTTTACACAGAGATGCAGAGAAGCAGTTCAATCTCGATTCCCTGCACATCTCCCTAAACTCGTCCAGATTCAGGCATTCCCCAGGCTTACTAACCTTTCACGAGCTTATTGTTCTCTACCTGACATGGTTCATATCAAACTGTATAATTGAATTTTAAATGTACTTCACAGGGACGCTGGACACGATTTCTAGCAGGAAAAAAAAAAAGAAAAGGGGGGAAAAAAAAAAGGAAGGTAGTGAACAGCCAAAAAAGATTTTTTTTTTTTTTTCTCTTTCTGTATTCTTCTCTCAACTTCTGTTTCTTTTACCTTCCACTACCTACTCCTAAGACTATCTAGAGGGGACCCCTGCAAGCATAGTTTCCTCTCTCTGTGAAGGGGGGACCCCTGCAAGCATAGTTTCCTCTCTCTGTGAAGGGGAGATTTCATGTTCCCCCTTGCCCCTAATGGCTAGGGTATAGGGTTGGGGCCGCCAGTGGGGGTCTGGCTAACACAAAAACCGAGACCTGCCAGTAGCTGTACCTCCCTTTCTCATCGTCCCCCACCCTTCATCGAGTAGCGGCAGAGGCTATGGCCAACACTCTCCCACACACCACACACAACCCACTCGCACTCACACTCACACCCGTGTTGGTCATAGACCCCGCTAATACCGATCAGGGGTATCCAGAGGACTATCACAGTCCGTTGGCACTAAGTGCGCCGCAGGTGGCCATGGGGCTTGAACCCACAACCTCCTGAATGCCACTTGCATGCCTAACCAACTGAGTTAGGCCGCTGGATTAAGAATTTGAGAGAAGAACATGGTGTAGTTTTATTATAAAAAAAAACAAATAAAGTTGGAGAGGGGTAGGGGGAGGTGCTATTGACTGGCCAAGGATGCTCGGCACTACCCGCTCGCATCGCCGGTTTCCCCCGTCGACAATGCCTGATCACCCGGGACTAAGTCCCACTTGCATTAGTCGCATCATCGTGAATCATCGTGACGAGGGGCTGATACAAGCCTTGCTTTGGCACCACTGCTGTGGTGCCAACCTACCCCGTGGGCCCATGGGCCCAGGAGAGTTCCAGGTTCCAGGTTTGGTTGGTGTTCCCCCATACTATACATAGAGTAGCCAGAGGATGAGATAGATGAGGAAAATATTTACAAAAAAGATTGAGAGAAGGATATAGAAAAAAGAGTGGGGGAAAAAAAAGAAGAGTGGGGGGAAGAAAAAAAAAGTACAGGGAGAAACAAAGACAGGGCAAAGCTATGTTTGCAGGGGTCCCCTGTATAGCCTTAGGAGTAGTGGTACCTCCTGAAGGGAAAAAGATATGTTCCATGATGAGATGGCAGAAAGCCAGTTAAAATATGTGAGGTGAGAGAAAAGGGCCTCGCCACACCACTCCCGACTTGGAGAAAAACATGGGCATTTTCAGGAGTGCACTGTCGCCACACCAACTCCCGACTTGGAGTTGTCAGAATGAATTCGGGAATGGTCAGAAAGTGGCGTGCGAGAGCACTCCCGAAACCTCTTGTCACTCCCGCCTGCGAATGGCCATTTTGGAGAGAAGTCACGCAGAGGGC